GATTTGTGATGTGAATACTCTGGTACCAACTCCAAATAAATCACAGTGGTTTGACATCAAAGCTCCGACTCTTCCCGTGTCTCCTTCCTGAGTCGGTGACTCCACTGCATGCTACACAGAAGTTTCCTCTACAATATGTATTTGTTGTAGTCCCCTGTGGTTGAAGACATGTATACATCCACTATTAATATAGCAGTTAGTTGTAATAACATCAAAACCTATGAAATGACTCCAACAACGGTCCCTTTGACCTGCTGTGGCTCTCACTCCGACACAGCATGGATACAAGTCAATAGAATAAACACATGTGTATTTATTTTTGCGGCTGGTTGCAGAGAGATAATGTATCAATCAACTGTTAAAAGGAAAAGCAGAAGAAGAGCAGGAGGAGGGTTCATGCTGTGCATCTACATCCATGTGTGTGTGTGTGTGTGTGTGTGTGTGTGTGTTATAAGGGGGAGGGTCCTTAATCCAAAAGTCTAAATTTAGTTAATGTATTTGCCTGGTCTGCACACTCCAATAGGAGGCCCTCGGCTCTGATGAGGTGTCTCAGATGTTGGAGGAATAGGAGGAGGGGACAGTGTTTGTACATGAGGTGTGTGTGTGTGTGTGTGTGTGTGTGTGTGTGTGTGTGTGTGTGTGTGTGTGTGTGTGTGTGTGTGTGTGTGTGGCCTAGCATTACTATATACTACTTGTGGGGACCTAAATCAGTTTACACAGTCACGTGTGGGGACTCGCCTCCCTTATGGGGACAAATTGGAGGTCCCCATGAGGGGAATCATTCATTTTAGGGTGAAGACTTGGTTAGGTTAAGGGTAAGGGCAAGGGTAAGGGTTAGGGTTAGGCATGTGTTGGTTATGGTTAAGGCTAGGATAAGTCTCCAGGAAATGCATGTAAGTCAATGTAATGTCCCCTGAAGTGATGTATAAATGGTATGTGTGTGTGTGTGTGTGTGTGTGTTTGTGTGTGTGTGTGGGGGGGTAGAAGTATGTTGTTTTTTGCTGACTCTTCGTTGATCCTGTTAAACATTTTTAACACCAGTAGCAATGGGTGGATTACCTAAAGAGCCGACCCGGTGCCCATTGGCTCAGGGGCCCTAAGTGAAATCACTATAAACCTTTTACGCGTCCATCAGCTGAACCTTTGAAAAACATTCCCTCACATGTCAGAGCTGAATAAAAAGCTGGATCAGGGAACTTTAAACCTGTGTATTTTGATGTTTAGTATATCCCTGCTTGATAAGGATTGTAACATGCTAGCAGAAATGTTTTTACTGCAGGTCCTATTCAGCCTCTCCTGATGTCAGTTTATTTCCTCCTGCAGTGATAAGAAATGATGATTCATCCACTCCTCTTCCTCCAGGGAACCACAGCTGGATCCACCACTAGGTGGCGTCACTCCACATCTCCATACTCTCCTATAATCAGCCTGGTGGAGGTGAAACAAGAGGTTAGACTGTATGGATGTTAAAGAACAGGAGTACTGGGTCAAAGCAATACATACGAAGCAACTATGTAATTGTGTTTTGTATGTTATCTTCTATAAGATGCACTTAGCAGAGGAGGCAGGCTTTGTCTTAAAAAGCTCTATTAGGAAACACTTTTTATATTTTTAAATCATGTATAATAAAAAAAAACAATGTTGATTGACATGTGCACTGTATGTGATCAAACTGCATATATAATCAACTATTAATATGAAAGTTTAAAGTTGAATTTACATCCAAACCTGAAAAACTGTCCCTTTGATCTCCACAACATAATTAAAATAAACGTAAAACATGTATATCTAATGCAGGCCCCTGTTGCAAAAACATATACTGTCTCAATGAACTGTTGATCTGAGCGTTGGATTGTTATTTCCTTCTGTTAATTGGCTTAATAAGGGACATACTGTATATTTCACTGTGTGGGATCAAGGCTTCCAGGAAGCTTAGCTCATTTCACTTGGATCTGTGGAGCCTCATATGGCGCTGCGCTCTTTAAGCCTCTTATGAATCACGACGGCAGCAGATGTAGAATCAGGAGCTCCTGCTGAGAGGAGAAACCAGACGGCTGAGCCTCAAATCTCTGCCGAACCTCAGCGAAATATCGATACTGCCTTTGTTTGTGCAAGCAAACAAACCGAGCTGTCAGGAAGATGGAGCGCGTAGTGCGTGTCCATCGATTCTGAACAACAACACAAACAAATCCATCCTGATCATCTTAAAGCCATGCTTCCGCAGGAGATCAGGAAGCAGAAGCCCCGCTGTGTGTCGGAACCAATTTTTTGTGGGCAAGATGTTCCCCCGGTGCCGATTCGGCGCTTGAAGAACCGGGAGTTCCCTCTGAGCGCGAGGCGGCGCCGCTACGGTTCCGCACCTGAACGGAAGGTGAACTGCGTCCTGGTTGGAGACGGAGCTGTGGGAAAGACCAGCCTCATCGTCAGCTACACCACCAACGGATACCCCACCGAATATGTTCCCACAGCGTTTGACAACTTTACCGGTAATGTCTGACTGTGGCTGATTTTCAGCTTTACGCACAAGTTTTACGCACAAGACTTGTTTTAAATTGAGGCTCTAAACCTTATTTTTTGCTGCTTTTTCCAGAGGTCCTATTTATTATTTGACTTCGTCACTTCTTGCAGCATAATCTGCATTTACAGGGTCGATCTTTAACTTACTTCTATCACTTGAATTCATTGTATTTTTTATTTTATTGTAAGCACTTTAAATCGTCTTTGTGTCTGAAATGTGCTACACGAGTAAAGTAACCTTAACCTTGACAGATGTAACGTTTAAGGCTGTCTGTCGGTATTTTGACCTAATTTAACTTATAATGCTATACTCAATCACCTTAGCAGCTCATATATTAAAACACATCATATTTTTACATGACAAAGTAGATGCTGCAAGAAACTCTTTAAAGACACAATACTTGCTTTTTGTATCTTCTCAGTGATGGTGGTGGTTGATGGAAAACCAGTGAGACTGCAGCTCTGGGACACAGCTGGACACGTGAGTTGCTGTTAACAAATACCACAGACCTTTAATAAAACACTTTGCAAATGGTGCAAATCTAGTTCCCTATTCTTTCATAGAAATATGTATCTTTTCATGTCTTTCTCGTGCTGCTCTGTCACAAAGAAGTGGGGGCTGGTTGATGGATCAATCAAAGTAAGTCATCAGGGATCAATGAGTGTTTGTCAGTAGTTATTGGAGTGTTTGTGTTTGTTCCCCCTGGCTTTTAGTCCTGGACTGAAATCCTTTTAGACCCCTTTAGTTTTTAGTTGCCCCCCAATATCTCCACATGTCACATCGCCCCCTGCAGGAAGTCACCATGTTTGTATTTGAGCCCCCTCTGTCCTCCTGTGCTCCATCGCCCTCTTTTGGCTGAGTGTTCATTATCCATCATCAACTCTTCCTTTTAAAAGCTTTAGCTGACACTCTTATCAAAATCAACATGCAGGTGTTTGCATATCAGCGCTTCACTGTGGTCACATTATTTAACCTTTTAAAAGATGCAACTAAACAGAAGATGTTGAGGAAATGTTAACCAAAGCCTATTGAGAAGTCCCATTTACATTATGGAGGTAAAAAAGAGACACATTTAGGTATTTTCATGTGTGTTTTTTATGCCAATAAGAAAGATTCACTAGCCTTTCATTCCTGCATGTCTTCTGCTCTGCTTGTTTTCCGAGTCCTGCTCTAAAAGTTAATTTACATTAATTAATTAATAGGGAGGTCAGAATCTATTAAGAGACACATTTTGGCCTTTAATGTGTTTTTTTGCTGACAATAGGAACGAAATTCTAACCTGTCTTCTCTGCAAGGGTGGGAAGTATTGGAGTACAAATACTTTGTTAATGTACTTAAGTACATTTTTCTGGTATCAGTACTTTACTCCACTACTTATTTTTCTGACGACTTTTTACTTTAACTTCTAACATGTTGAACTCAAATACCTGTACTTTCTACTTCTTACATGTTGAACTCAAATACCTGTACTTTCTACTTCTTACATGTTGAACTCAAATACCTGTACTTTCTACTTCTCACATGTTGAACACAAATACCTGTACTTTCTACTTCTTACATGTTAAACTGAAATACCTGTACTTTCTACTTCTCACATGTTGAACACAAATACCTGTACTTTCTACTTCTTACATGTTGAACCCAAATACCTGTACTTTCTACTTCTTACATGTTGAACTCAAATACCTGTACTTTCTACTTCTCACATGTTGAACTCAAATACCTGTACTTTCTACTTCTTACATGTTGAACACAAATACCTGTACTTTCTACTTCTTACATGTTGAACCCAAATACCTGTACTTTCTACTTCTCACATGTTGAACTCAAATACCTGTACTTTCTACTTCTCACATGTTGAACACAAATACCTGTACTTTTTACTTCTCTCATTTTCCAAACAGCTGGTTCCTTTAGTCTGAATGTGTGTTTGATGCGTGATCATTATTCTTCAGAGTCATTGCGTGCCTATTGATTTGAACACGATCCGTGTATCCATCATTTCCTGGTCTTCTCTAAAGAAGAGGGACCAATGGAAACGTTGTCATGTTGCCGTTGTTCAGCATGGAAACATTCATTAGCTAACAATGACATTATTGTTCTATTAATATAAAGGGAGGTCAGGTACTCTTTAAAGCAGCTGCTAGTTATGGGTACTTTTTACTGAAGTACATTTCAAAGCCTCTTTACTTTTACTTGAGTAAAGGATGTGTGTACTTTTGCCCTCTCTGCTAACCAGTCCTCTCTGTTTCTGGTTTCTCTTCATAAAGGATGAGCTGGATCTCCTTCGTCCTCTCTGCTACAAAAACGCGGATGTCTTCCTCCTCGTCTACAGCGTGGTGCGGCCCTCCTCCCTCCGCAGCCTGGTGGACCGCTGGCTCCCTGAGATCCGGCACCAGTGTCCGGACACTCCTCTAGTCCTCGTCGGCACCCAGCTGGACCTGAGGGAGGACGTGCAGGTTCTGATCCAGCTGGCCCAGAACCAGCAGCGTCCCGTGGGCACGGAGGAGGGCCGGCAGCTGGCAGAGGAGCTGGGCATGGTGGGATTCATGGAGGTCTCTGCGCTGACCCAGAAGAACCTGAAGGACCCGTTTGATTCGGCCATCTTGGCCAGCATCCAGCAGACGGAGATGGAGAGTTGCAGCGAGGAGAGGAAGATGAAGATCCCCCTGAGGAAGAAGACGCCGGATAAGATGAAGAGTGTCTGGGAGACCTGGTGGAGGAAGATCAACTGTGTGATGGTGGAGCAGAGCTGTGAGGACAAGTAAAAGTTATTGAAAACCTGTTGAATTCGGAATGAAAATGTCAAAATACACATTTCAGGTGTTTTATTTGACTACTTTTTACTATTTGCATCTGGATATTTCTCCAAAACTCTCCAAAACATGGCAGAATAATCATTGGCACATTGAAACATACAAGAAAAAGTTTCATTATGATCTAATTAATGATCAACTGTGAGATCAAGTGAACATTTAACGTGTTTATTTTTACTCAGTTCATCGGAAAACTGATACATTAGTTTTCTTCTTCGTGATGGCAGAAGGTGGAAAGAAAATATCCAAAGGAAACATTGAAGGTGTTTTATTTGACTAGTAACGTCTATTTGCATCCGGACATTTCTCCAAAACTCACCAAAACAAGGCAGAATTGATCATTTGCACATCGAAACTTACAAGAAAAAGTTTCATGACGATCTAATTAATGATCAACCAGAAGAACCTGAAGGATCTTGGCCAGCATCCAGCAGGCGGGGGTGGAGAGTTGCAGCGAGGAGAGGAAGAGGAAGAGGAAGATCCCCCTGAGGAAGAAGACGCCGGATAAGATGAAGAGTGTCTGGGAGACCTGGTGGAGGAAGATCAACTTCTGGAAGGTGTGAGATCAAGTGAACGTTATTGAAAGCCTGGGTCAGATCATCGAAAAACTGTTGAATTTGGAATGAAAATGTCAAAATACACATTTCAGGTGTTTTATTTGACTACTTTCGTCTATTTGCATCTGGATATTTCTCCAAAACTCAATGATTGCATAATTTGCACATTTCAAAAACATTTCCATGATGGTATCTAGTTGGGAATGTTTCTATCCTGTCCACCTGTAGTGTCTTGTGCAATATGTATGGAATACATTTTTTTAAAGGTCATTTTCTAAAAATAATCTTTATTTATCATTTATTTTGACAGAAATCTCCAACTTTTTAAGTTTCATCCTTATCTTTATTCTACAATTTCTTCACAGAGAGTTTATATTTCATTGATCTCCAGATTTTGAGAACATGTTACAAATAGAAACATGACGACAATTAATAATAGATGTCTGTTTTTCCACTTTAATCTGATATACTGTAGATATTTTATTTAGACTTTTCAGTGTCATTTGTCATAATCTTATTTAACGTACTTTTTTGTTTATTTATATTACTTGTGAACATTTTGCTCATTAATTAAATTGTTTTTCAAAACTGTTTTATAACAGTAATATAATTGCGTTAAAGTGTCTCTACTTTAAAGAGTCCTCTCCTGCTGATGTTCAGGTGTATATCAGGATGTAGTGTCTCTACTTTAAAGAGTCCTCTCCTGCTGATGTTCAGGTTTATATCAGTATGTAGTGTCTCTACTTTAAAGAGTCCTCTCCTGCTGATGTTCAGGTGTCTATCAGTATGTAGTGTCTCTACTTTAAAGAGTCCTCTCCTGCTGATGTTCAGGTGTATATCAGGATGTAGTGTCTCTACTTTAAAGAGTCCTCTCCTGCTGATGTTCAGGTTTATATCAGTATGTAGTGTCTCTACTTTAAAGAGTCCTCTCCTGCTGATGTTCAGGTGTCTATCAGTATGTAGTGTCTCTACTTTAAAGAGTCCTCTCCTGCTGATGTTCAGGTGTATATCAGGATGTAGTGTCTCTACTTTAAAGAGTCCTCTCCTGCTGATGTTCAGGTGTATATCAGGATGTAGTGTCTCTACTTTAAAGAGTCCTCTCCTGCTGATGTTCAGGTTTATATCAGTATGTAGTGTCTCTACTTTAAAGAGTCCTCTCCTGCTGATGTTCAGCTGTATATCAGGATGTAGTGTCTCTACTTTAAAGAGTCCTCTCCTGCTGATGTTCAGGTGTATATCAGTATGTAGTATCTCTACTTTAAAGAGTCCTCTCCTGATGATGTTCAGGTTTATATCAGTATGTAGTGTCTCTACTTTAAAGAGTCCTCTCCTGCTGATGTTCAGGTGTATATCAGTATGTAGTGTCTCTACTTTAAAGAGTCCTCTCCTGCTGATGTTCAGGTGTATATCAGTATGTAGTGTCTCTACTTTAAAGAGTCCTCTCCTGCTGATGTTCAGGTTTATATCAGTATGTAGTGTCTCTACTTTAAAGAGTCCTCTCCTGCTGATGTTCAGGTGTATATCAGTATGTAGTGTCTCTACTTTAAAGAGTTCTCTCCTGCTGATGTTCAGGTGTATATCAGTATGTAGGGTCTCTACTTTAAAGAGTCCTCTCCTGCTGATGTTCAGGTGTATATCAGGATGTAGTGTCTCTACTTTAAAGAGTCCTCTCCTGCTGATGTTCAGGTGTATATCAGTATGTAGTGTCTCTACTTTAAAGAGTCCTCTCCTGCTGATGTTCAGGTGTATATCAGTATGTAGTGTCTCTACTTTAAAGAGTCCTCTCCTGCTGATGTTCAGGTGTATATCAGTATGTAGTGTCTCTACTTTAAAGAGTCCTCTCCTGCTGATGTCCAGGTGTATATTAGTATGTAGTGTATCTACTTTAAAGAGTCCTCTCCTGCTGATGTTCAGGTGTATATCAGTATGTAGTGTCTCTACTTTAAAGAGTCCTCTCCTGCTGATGTTCAGGTGTATATCAGTATGTAGTGTCTCTACTTTAAAGAGTCCTCTCCTGCTGATGTTCAGGTGTATATCAGTATGTAGTGTCTCTACTTTAAAGAGTCCTCTCCTGCTGATGTTCAGGTGTATATCAGTATGTAGTGTCTCTACTTTAAAGAGTCCTCTCCTGCTGATGTTCAGGTGTATATCAGTATGTAGGGTCTCTACTTTAAAGAGTCCTCTCCTGCTGATGTTCAGGTGTATATCAGTATGTAGTGTCTCTACTTTAAAGAGTCCTCTCCTGCTGATGTTCAGGTGTATATCAGTATGTAGTGTCTCTACTTTAAAGAGTCCTCTCCTGCTGATGTTCAGGTGTATATCAGTATGTAGTGTCTCTACTTTAAAGAGTCCTCTCCTGCTGATGTTCAGGTTTATATCAGTATGTAGTGTCTCTACTTTAAAGAGTCCTCTCCTGCTGATGTTCAGGTGTATATCCGTATGTAGTGTCTCTACTTTAAAGAGTCCTCTCCTGATGATGTTCATGTGTATATCAGTATGTAGTGTCTCTACTTTAAAGAGTCCTCTCCTGCTGATGTTCAGGTTTATATCAGTATGTAGTGTCTCTACTTTAAAGAGTCCTCTCCTGCTGATGTTCAGGTGTATATCAGTATGTAGTGTCTCTACTTTAAAGAGTCCTCTCCTGCTGATGTTCAGTTGAATATCAGTATGTAGGGTCTCTACTTTAAAGAGTCCTCTCCTGCTGATGTTCAGGTGTATATCAGGATGTAGTGTCTCTACTTTAAAGAGTCCTCTCCTGCTGATGTTCAGGTGTATATCAGTATGTAGTGTCTCTACTTTAAAGAGTCCTCTCCTGCTGATGTTCAGGTGTATATCAGTATGTAGTGTCTCTACTTTAAAGAGTCCTCTCCTGCTGATGTTCATGTGTATATCAGTATGTAGTGTCTCTACTTTAAAGAGTCCTCTCCTGATGATCTTCATGTGTATATCAGTATGTAGTGTCTCTACTTTAAAGAGTCCTCTCCTGCTGATGTTCAGGTTTATATCAGTATGTAGTGTCTCTACTTTAAAGAGTCCTCTCCTGCTGATGTTCAGGTGTATATCCGTATGTAGTGTCTCTACTTTAAAGAGTCCTCTCCTGATGATGTTCATGTGTATATCAGTATGTAGTGTCTCTACTTTAAAGAGTCCTCTCCTGCTGATGTTCAGGTTTATATCAGTATGTAGTGTCTCTACTTTAAAGAGTCCTCTCCTGCTGATGTTCAGGTGTATATCAGTATGTAGTGTCTCTACTTTAAAGAGTCCTCTCCTGCTGATGTTCAGGTGTATATCAGTATGTAGTGTCTCTACTTTAAAGAGTCTTCTCCTGCTGATGTTTAGGTGTATATCAGTATGCAGTGTCTCTACTTTAAAGAGTCCTCTCCTGCTGATGTTCAGGTGTATATCAGTATGTAGTGTCTACTTTAAAGAGTCCTCTCCTGCTGATGTTCAGGTGTATATCAGTATGTAGTGTCTCTACTTTAAAGAGTCCTCTCCTGCTGATGTTCAGGTGTATATAAGGATGTAGTTTCTCTACTTTAAAGAGTCCTCTCCTGCTGATGTTCAGGTTTATATCAGTATGTAGTGTCTCTACTTTAAAGAGTCCTCTCCTGCTGATGTTCAGGTGTATATCCGTATGTAGTGTCTCTACTTTAAAGAGTCCTCTCCTGATGATCTTCATGTGTATATCAGTATGTAGTGTCTCTACTTTAAAGAGTCCTCTCCTGCTGATGTTCAGGTGTATATCCGTATGTAGTGTCTCTACTTTAAAGAGTCCTCTCCTGATGATGTTCATGTGTATATCAGTATGTAGTGTCTCTACTTTAAAGAGTCCTCTCCTGCTGATGTTCAGGTTTATATCAGTATGTAGTGTCTCTACTTTAAAGAGTCCTCTCCTGCTGATGTTCAGGTGTATATCAGTATGTAGTGTCTCTACTTTAAAGAGTCCTCTCCTGCTGATGTTCAGGTGTATATCAGTATGTAGTGTCTCTACTTTAAAGAGTCCTCTCCTGATGATCTTCATGTGTATATCAGTATGTAGTGTCTCTACTTTAAAGAGTCCTCTCCTGCTGATGTTCAGGTGTATATCAGTATGTAGTGTCTCTACTTTAAAGAGTCCTCTCCTGCTGATGTTCAGGTGTATATCAGTATGTAGTGTCTCTACTTTAAAGAGTCCTCTCCTGCTGATGTTCAGGTGTATATCAGTATGTAGTGTCTCTACTTTAAAGAGTCCTCTCCTGCTGATGTTCAGGTGTATATCAGTATGTAGTGTCTCTACTTTAAAGAGTCCTCTCCTGCTGATGTTCAGGTGTATATCAGTATGTAGTGTCTCTACTTTAAAGAGTCCTCTCCTGCTGATGTTCAGGTGTATATCAGTATGTAGTGTCTCTACTTTAAAGAGTCCTCTCCTGCTGATCTTCAGGTGTATATCAGTATGTAGTGTCTCTACTTTAAAGAGTCCTCTCCTGCTGATCTTCAGGTGTATATCAGTATGTAGTGTCTCTACATGTCTCCATGCTTTAATGTTCAAAAAGATCTTTATTTTTCTCATACTGCCTGTGCTGCAGCACCTCTTTTCACCCTCTGTCTGAAACCAGAGCCCAGTCTGCTCTGATTGGTTAGCTGGCCGGGTCTGTTGTGATTGGTCATCCGCTTAGAGATATCCCACCCCTTAGCCTATCACGTACAATGTGTTGGAGCGCTACCCAATGGAAGCTTGAGTGTTACATAGTGATGTCACTCTGTTCTTGAAGTCCAATGGAGGCGTTTTAGAGTGTGTGGGAGAGAAACCATTTGCATGCACTAAAACCTAGATAACACACTACAGGAAAGAGAAAACCCCAAAATGCACAGGGCCTCTTTAAGGTTTAAAGCAACATGGATTCTCTATAATTTCAAACATTCGCGATATATTACGTTTCATCTGGGGGTGAATTAAGGAACTATCTATTTATAAGAGCAGCATTCATCTGTTTCTTCAGAGCACTTGTGTCCATGCCAAGGACATGTTGGAGTGTTAATAAGGATTAAGAGCTGCTGATTGGCTCCCTGATCCTCCTGATCTACTGACCCAGCACGGACACACTTTTATAGACCTGCATGCATACACAAAGCATCCTCACCTCGGGTACAGATTGGGAGTGAAAAGGAGACGGGTCCAGAGGGAGATGGTTCTGTAATCTCTGGCTATAATGGGAGCAGACGGGAGCAGCTGGAGAGGATTACACAGCAGATGGAGGCGGACACTTCACCTTCAGAAGTCACAAGATGAGATAGGACTTTATTTAACCCAAAGGAATTGGTTTGGCTCTTTTCTGCTGTAACAAATGTACATTTCCCCTCTCTGGGACGAATACAGGTATTCTGATTCTGATTGAACTGAACATTAGGGTGAGATCTTATTGAACACGTGAGAAACATGTGCTAAGCGTGTGGAGTATTTTTGATTGAATTAAGACACAGTCGTATGAGGGGCCGTATAGGCCAAAATTCAAACTCACCTCACACACACACTACTGAAAACATCTGGCCTTGCACACACACTACTGAAATACTCTCACATTCACTACTGAACACCTCACACACACACTACTGAACACATCTGGCCTTGGACACACACTACTGAAATACTCTCACATTCACTACTGAACACCTCACACACACACTACTGAAATCCTCTCACATTCACTACTGAACACCTCACACACACTACTGAAATCCTCTCACATTCACTACTGAACACCTCACACACACACTACTGAAATCCTCTCACATTCACTACTGAACACCTCACACACACACTACTGAAATCGTCTCACATTCACTACTGAACACCTCACACACACACTACTGAAAATTAAGCCTCACACACACACTACTGAAATCCTCTCACATTCACTACTGAACACCTCACACACACACACTACTGAAAATTAACCTCACACACACACTCCTGAAAAACATTTGACTGAAAGGTTCTCAGTAGGGAATGTGCATGTGTTTCACCTATGTGTGTGTGAGGGGATTCTTGCTGTAACGGAAGTCATTCTTGCTGTAACGGAAGTCATTCTAATGTAACGGAAGTCATTCTAATGTAACGGAAGTCATCTGCTAGTGGTCTCTTTGCTATCCCCGTTAGCTTCATTAGCTCCAGGCTGCTACTCGGACGTGTTTGTTGTGTTGATGCCTGGTGGAGTATTCTTCATTGAAATATCGCACTTATCTTATGGCTCTGCGGTTCAAACAGACCGTCCATGAATGCAGTTTATTCGGTAAGTGAAATTCAAGCACTTTATTTCTTACTTGTCTTTTTATTCAGCTAACAAGCGAGACGAAGCTACATCTGTGCTAAATATGCTATCCGTAGCATACAAGTTAAAACATAATGGAGAAGTGTAAAACATTAAGAAGGATTATACTGTAAAACATAAGGCTTCTCGGTGAGGTTGGTAAAATAAGGTCATGCTTGTACATTAGTTAGTTTGCTAGTTAGGTAACTGTATGCATTGTTATTGTTAATTTAAAATAGCTATGCTCGACGATGCAGACAGCTAGCGTCACATTAGTGTTGAAGAGCAGAGTACGGTATGAGATTAACCCATAGATTAACCTCACTATAAGATCTGTGTATCTGAAAAATATGAATCTCACATTTCCAGTTGGTTCCAGAAATAACGTTAACGTAGATATTGCAATATGGTTTGTTGTTTGTTACTTAGCATTTTATTATCATTACACTGGAGAAACCGACTTATTGTGGCAGCAGAACGTGAACATGTAACTTAATGCCTGCATTTGAGGACGAAAAATAGCTCAGTCAATGCTTTAGGGACAAGGAAATGATTTGTTTAAATATTAGATATGACGTTATGTGTGCTTCTGTGACAATGAAGCTTATTCATTGCATTACATTTGTTGAAGATGTTTGTCTTTTACCCTTACGTGTGTGTTACAAATGAATGTGAATATGGCATAGGACAAATATTTAAATTGACTGTCTCATGAAAAACGATTCTGAAATAAAAAGGACCCCAACTATACAATAATACACAATCCAACTGATAAGATACAGTAAGGGCTTTGATATCCAGCACTTTTTTTTAAGGATAACAAAAAGATTATCACATGACATTTGCATGTAAAAAAAGTCTGTGACCAACACATTGTTACTTTACATATATATATGTTTGTTTAAAGTTTCCAGGTGATGCAGACAGACCAGAGGATGCTGACCACGAGAGACAGACCTATTCCTAACATCAGTGAACTTCAGCATGGACTCAAAGGTACAAAGACTCCTTTCATACTGTACAAAGAATCGAGAAACATTCTGGTTTAAATAAAGTAACAACTATAATCAGCTTTCACATTTCAATGTATTTAAGGCAATTATTATTTTACATTGAGAATTGCTACCATTTGTCTCTACATATTGTCTGTAAAAGACGTGGTAAAAGTGGTTCTTGCAGTGAGACAACCGAGCAGTTGAATATTATTTAATAATAAGATATTTTAATGTTGATTAACTGCAGACTGTTCATTCATAATCTGATTATCTTTGTAGTACAAAGTGATGATTTAAAAAAACACATTAAAATAAAAATAAATACATTATTTCTACAGCCGCTAAATAAACAAACCTTTCATAAATAACACACTTGCTCTGCAATAATGTCATGTTTCTTGTCATTTCTGTTAGGAAAGGACATACCTGAAGGACACAACTGCCTCACCGTTTTCTCAGAGGGGCAAGAAGAAAATGAATAGCTGATTTCCGATTAAAGACCAATACAGGACATTCACTAAGAAACTACACTTTTATTGTGAACACAAAGTCAAACAGGACCATCATTTGTTTGTGACAGCTGAGCCCAGTATGTGCTCACAGATGCAGTGAGGGGGTTTCTTCATCAGGCCTGGTCCTCCTCCATCAGGCCTGGTCCTCCTCCATCAGGCCTGGGCCTCCTCCCAGAGAAAGACCTCTCCACCTCAGTCCTCTCCAGCCAAACCCACAGACAGGACATCCGTCATGCTGAGGTTTCTCCCAAAGTCTCTGCACGCTGTCTCAATTGATCCACACTGTGAATATGAGGGGGAAATGTGTGTCATAAATGCTTTAGACAATAAGAAATATGAAGTTAACTGTAAGGAATGGCTCATTCTTTTTTAAATAGACAAAACTATTACTGTATTTCAATATCTCACGTCTGAAAGTTTAATTTAAAAGAAGAAGAGGCCCCAAAAATAAAGATTGGTATATCAATAAATGTAGTTGATTTTGTCTTTTTAATTGTTTAAAGTAGATATAACTGGTACTTGAGAGTTTGAATACAGTCTGGTTGCGGAGGAGGCACACAGAGAGCATATAGCTACCATCACATGTAACTAAGCTTGACTTGAATTTATTAAAAGTATAATTAAGTAACAGCAACAAATCAATAACAAATCATGCAAAAATGTGAATCTTTGCTGGATCCACTGTTGAATTTACCACATATTGTATATTTTAGAAACCTTAAGGCATTTATAGATTTGTATGTATGTATTGTATGTATGGTGTATAATTCCCGGCCTGACATATTGTCCCAGTCCGGCCCTGGTCCTATGCCATATTCACATTCATGTGTAACACACACGTAAGGGTAAAAGACAAACATCTTCAACAAATGTAATGCAATGAATAAGCTTCATTGTCACAGAAGCACACATAACGTCATATCTAATATTTAAACAAATCATTTCCTTGTCCCTAAAGCATTGACTGAGCTATTTTTCGTCCTCAAATGCAGGCATTAAGTTACATGTTCACGTTCTGCTGCCACAATAAATCGGTTTCTCCAGTGTAATGATAATAAAATGCTAAGTAAGTATTGGTAATAATATTAATAAAAACAACGTTTGGGTTCGTTCGTTTAATATGATGAACGTTAACCAGTAAGCTTCAACAATCAACTCCAGCTCAACAAACCATATTGCAATATCTACGTCAACGTTATTTCTGGAACCAACTGGAAATGTGAGATTCATATTTTTAAGATACACAGATCTTATAGTGAGGTTAATCTATGGGTTAATCTTCTCATACCGTACTCTGCTCTTCAACACTAATGTGACGCTAGCTGTCTGCATCGTCGAGCATAGCTATTTTAAATTAACAATAACAATGCATACAGTTACCTAACTAGCAAACTAACTAATGTACAAGCATGACCTTATTTTACCAACCTCACCGAGAACCCTTGTGTTTTACAGTATAATCCTTCTTAATGTTTTACACTTCTCTATTATGTTTGAACTTGTATGCTACGGATAGCATCGTTAGCACAGATGTAGCTTCGTCTCGCTTGTTAGCTGAATAAAAAGACAAGTAAGAAATAAAGTGCTTGAATTTCACTTACCGAATAAACTGCATTCATGGACGGTCTGTTTGAACCGCAGAGTCATAAGATAAGTGCGATATTTCAATGAAGAATACTCCACCAGGTATCAACACAACAAACACGTCCGAGTAGCAGCCTGGAGCTAATGAAGCTAACGGGGCTAGCAAAGAGACCCACTAGCAGATGACTTCCGTTACATTAGAATGACTTCCGTTACATTAGAATGACTTCCGTTACATCAAGAATCCCCTCACACACACATAGGTGAAACACATGCACATTCCCTACTGAGAACCTTTCAGTAAAATGTTTTTCAGGAGTGTGTGTGTGAGGTTAATTTTCAGTAGTGTGTGTGCGAGGTGTTCAGTAGTGAATGTGAGAGGATTTCAATAGTGTGTGTATGACGTTAATTTTCAGTAGCGTGTGTGTGAGGTGTTCAGTAGTGAATGTGAGAGTATTTCAGTAGTATGTGTGCAAGGCCAGATGTTTTCAGTAGCGTGTGTGTGAGGTTAATTTTCAGTAGTGTGTGTGTGAGGTGTTCAGTAGTGAATGTGAGAGTATTTCAGTAGTGTGTGTGCAAGGCCAGATGTTTTCAGTAGTGTGTGTGTGAGGTTAATTTTCAGTAGTGTGTGTGTGAGGTGTTCAGTAGTGAATGTGAGAGTATTTCAGTAGTGTGTGTGCAAGGCCAGAGGTTTCCAGTAGTGTGTGCGTGAGGTTAATTTTCAGTTGCGTGTGTGTGAGGTTCATTTTCACTAATATGTGTGAGGCTTAATTTTCAGTAGTGTGTGTGTGTGAGGTGTTCAGTAGTGAATGTGAGAGTATTTCAGTAGTGTGTGTGCAAGGCCAGATGTTTTCAGTAGTGTGTGTGCGAGGTAAGTTTGAATTTTGGCCTACACGGCCCTTCATACAGTCGTCATGTTCTCACCCTGCCCGAAGCATTTAGGTTAGATTTAACAGATGACCTCTATTCATCTGACTTAATTTCCCACACACACACACACACACACACACACACACACACACACACACGCACGCACACACACACACACACACACACACACACACACACACACACACACACACACAGAAGAAGTGCCGTCAGAACTTCTGATTAGTTTCTGTTTGAACTCAATAGACGAGGTACGTTTAATAGTTAAAACATAATAAAAACGATTTTATTAAAATTTCTATTCTGATTTAGTCACTTTAAGCTGGCCCACCATTTAACACCCACACACACACACACACACACACACGCACGCACGCACGCACGCACGCACGCACGCACCACGCACGCACGCACGCACACACACACACACACACACACACACACACACACACACACACACACACACACACACACACACACACACACACACACACACACACACACACACACACACACACACACACACACACACACAGGAATCCAGAGCCTCAACTTCACTGTTGTTGTTGTTGTTGTAATACCTGCCGCTCACCAACTGATGTAAACAATATTCACATTTTAAACCTCATCGGGACATGGAGTTAATTCAGAGTCTCATGCTGGTTAGTCTGTTTTAGTGACATTTGTATGGGTAAAATCCAGGAGATGTGACACTTATCAGTGCAAAAGTTTGATGGTTTAGAAAAACAAGAATATGACGCACTTACAGAATAGTTTTTATATCCCACAAATAAGTTTCATAATGCAATGGAATAATGATAACACAACATCTAAGTGCTTTATGATAGAAAACATCGCATTTTCTAAATAATAACCACTCTGCATGCTTGAGAGGGCAACACAAATGGATTAAACATACTATAAGACTGAAAAACTGTAAACATTGCTTAAATAAATGCATCATATGGATAATGTGATTATCTGGGGTGGATGGATTTAGGGGGAGTGTGTAAGAGCGCTGAGCTTCATTTAAACAATAATTGAAGCTTTCAGATTCTGAAGATTCAAACATGGCTCTCCTCCTGTTCCTCTGGTTCTTCTGTCCGTTCTGCAGAAACCAGGTTCAGGTCTGAGTCGTTCTCATACTCACAACGAGAGTCTAACTGATGGAGAGTCAGAGGCGTCAAAACGTGGATACATTCATACTTTTGGTCAAACAGAATTCAACGTTTCCTATATTTTGCTCCTTTTTCAATGTTTGTTGGAAAATGTGTGAAAACATTGTACTGAAAAAACTGAAATGTTAATTTGAAATAAATGTGTCCAGAAATTACACATAATTGTATTAGGTTAGGTGAAAGCATTAATATTAAGTCTAAATAGGATCAAATAAATATGATTGATTTTTTAATATCATTGCTTTCAACTAACCTAATACACTTATGTGTCATTTGTTGACATAATACATTTAATTCAAGTCAACGTTTCAGTGTTTCCATTTGAATGTTTTCACACATTTTCCAACCAACACTGAAAAAATGAAACAAAATAGGATCGTGTGTCATTCAAAGTCAACGTTTCAGTTTTTCAGTGTGAGTTGGTAGTTTTCCTTATAAGAAAGTAGTTAATAAGGTAAATGTACATTTTTAAACTGACCCTATATTTACGACAGGTAATAGTTGCTAGCGTAAAATAATGTCTCTCACCTCCTCTATGGGTTCATTCGCTTCAGCGGTGGAGCTCCCAGCCTTGTTCATCCTGAATAAATCAGAACACAAACAGATAAATAAGTAAAAGCTTTAATCATAAATCCTAAAGTATGGAAATCAATACTCAACGTAGAATATCAACAGATTTCGTTTCATAGTTTTACCTCATCAAGAGAAAGAAAATAAGCAGAATTATCAGCACCAGAACCACAATCGTCCCCCTGATGATGTTTAAGATCATTGTTGGATTATCTTGAAATGGAGATAAACAGTAATGAGATACTTTACTGTATCAATGAACACACACATTTCTATTCAACAATACTACATTTAAAATCTGCACAGTTCTACACTTTAAGTTCTAGTATTTTGTCCTTTTTTTTTTTACTGTATTTAGATCTTCTTTTTGTATTTAACCTATTCTGCTTTTTGGGGTTTTCCCTTCCCTGTAGTGTATGGGCTCAGAACAGTCTCATAATACACACATGCACACAAAAGGATTCACACTTGTATTTCCGGATCCACACTTGTGTTTTTCAATGCACACACAAATGTGTTCCGTTTCATATACATGTAAATAAAATCCAAATACCGAAAAAAGTTTTATATATGTATTTTTGATCCTCACATATTTGTTTTCCGTTTAAAACCTCTGCACCTGCAAACACAAACCGCTTTCTGTGCACGGATCGCTGTGCATTCGTGTGTGGGTTTTTTGAGACTCCCCTGACGGTCAGCCGATTCGTACTTGTAATTGTTTCTATCTATAGCCAATCAGATGTCTCCTCAATTCTAAGCCAATCACATGAGCGCGCCCCCGCGAG